TTCGATCCGGGACGGGATCGGACAGACCGACCACTCCGCAAACATTAAACCCCGAAGCCGGAAGTCTCGATCTTCTGCGGAGAAGCTCAAGCCTCGCGGACGGACGAAGCCGTGCGGGACGATCGAAGCCTCGTGAAGATGAAGCTTTCGAAAGGACGGAGCTCTGCCGACGAAGCCAAATACCCGACGAAACCTACGAGACGAGCGACTCGATCGGAACTTCCAATCCGAGACAAAGGAGCCTAGTCGAACAGCCACATAAGAACCGAAGGAGCGTCATACATGATCCGACAGAAAGGGAAAGTCGACGAAGGAGCGAAGCAGCCCGCTCGATTCCCCCTTCCGATCGCACATCCCAGACGAGATCGGCTCGATTCCCCCTTCCAATCGCACATCCCAGGCGATCCACGCCTGCGATTCGTGGGAGGAAACCAAGCCCGCGTGCGACTTGGGGGTGGAACCGCAACCCGTGCCCTACTCCAATCCAAGCCTCTTTTTTTAAGGCTCGACCAGTTCGATTTAAAAAAAAGCCTTAAATCAGATTTAAGATCTTATTAAGATCTAATATCAGCCTTTATTACTGATACAAGCAAATCAGACTTTATTGCTGATCAAATCAACCTTTATTGCTGATACAAGCAAATCAGCCTTTCTTATTGATCAAATCAGCCTTTATTGCTGATACAAGCAATTCAGCCTTTATGGTTGATCAAATCAACCTTTATTGCTACAATAAATACAGCCTTCATTGCTAGAAATCTGAGGAATACAAAATTTCCATCACCGGCCTTCATTGCCGGAATTTTGATGATATTCCCATCACCGGCCTTCATTGCTGAAATTCTGAGGAATACAAGTTCCCACAACTGGCCTTAATTGTCGGAATTTTTAGGATAGTTTTTCATCATCGGCCTTCATTGTCGGCTTTCTCTGGTGGTTGATATCCTATCCATAACCAATGTAGCTCTACCTCTGAGTGAGTAATTGCAAGCTAGTCTCCAGCTTGAGGGGGGAGTGTCAAAATCGCAGTCATCCCTTGGCATTTGATCCCACGGTCAGGATGAGAATCCGTACCTGGATCACGCCAATATCCTTTTATATGTGGGTAGCTGAATTAGGAAGGATTATATTGAGGCAATTATGTATCAATTAGAAGTTATTTATTTCTTTATTAAGACATCTTGTATAGATCTATAAATAGGGATAATTTTGTACAATAAGCAGAATGTATTTTTACCTTTCTCAAATTCTATGAATTCTAACAGTTTGCAACCACTTCATTCCCAGGATGACATTAATACTTCCTAATTCTAGTGGAAGAAAGTCCTCCCTTACCTGAATTCCATGGATGATCAACATCACTCCTCTACAGATCCCCTGACCTTTCTCCACCTTCCCTGTACCCATCATCACACCATAACAACCGGTATCCACCAATTTCACTTCCAATTGGTCGATGACCTGAGTGAAAATGAAATTGTGGGTAGCCACACTATCAATTAGCACCACCACCTCCCTGCCCTCTATCTCCCCCTTCACCTTCATGGTATGATTCATAGTGAATTCTACTACTGAGTTCAGGGAAACCTAAGCCAGATCCAAGTATAGCTTCTCCGCCATCTCCTCCTCTGTCTCCTCAGTTTCCTCGTCATCGCAGACGGTGAGAACTTGAAGAGTTCGGTCCTTGCACCGATGCCTCGGCATATAATTCTCCTCGCACCTGAAACATAACCCCTTTGTCCTCTTCTCATGCATCTCCTTCTCTGTCAGCCTCTTGAAATTTTCCCCACTTTCTCCTCCAACCGGCTTCTCCCTGGTGGTCTCATTAATGTTGTTTAATACAGACCCCTTGGGTGCTAGAAGAGTGGTCATAGTCTTGTAAGAGCCTCCTGAGCTGCCGCTCCTGGCTGCTGGCTCCAGATTCTTCTGATTTTCCACCAGCTGTGTCAACTTCATAGCCTCCCCCAAGTCACTAAGCATCAGAACTTTTACTGCCGCTCGGATCTCTGCCTTCAACCCCTTCATGAAGTTCCCCTACAATACCGTATCTGATAATCGCTACACCCTACTGACTAGGTGCTCAAACTGCTCCTGGTAGTCTGCTATTGATCCCTCTTGTGCCAGAGAAAAGAACTGCTCATAAAAATCTCTTCCCCGATCAGTTTGAAAATGTTCTATTATGCAGTCTTTGAATTCCCTCAAGTCCCTGATAGGTCTCCTCTGGTCTCTCCACTGGTACCATGACAGTGCCTTCCCCTCCAGACATAGGCCTGCTGTTGTCAATTTCTCCTCCTCCGTTAGTCCATTAACAGCAAAGTACCTCTCCACCTTATAGATCCACCCATACACATCCTCCCCCTGGAAGATAGGCATCTTCAACTTCCTCACCTTCTAATCTCCACAATTCCCCCTTATTCCTCCATAGCTTCCCCTCTCTCACGTGTTCGGCCCACCCCACGTCTCCTGGTTTTCCCTTATCCTGCCATAGCCCAAACCCCCTTCGAATTCCCCTCTTCTTCCCTTCAAAATCAGCACCTCGACGACCATAATGTCCCTCCCAGCATTCCCAATCAGCACCCCTTTGCTCCGTCCCTCCATGCTCATGTCTTTCCCCATACCTACCTCATTTATCCTCCCTCTAGAAAGGCTACAGATAGGGTTTCCTTCTTTCTCCTTCCACTACTTCCACCTCATCTTCCTCCCTAAGAATTTCAGAATTTATGTTTTTTCTTTCCTCCTCTTTTGCCACGGAAGCCGCCGTTTGGTTGTGAATTTCCAACATTTTCTTCATCATGTCCAAGAGATCTACTTGTCCTTCCATATAGAGGAAATCCTTTCATCCACCGTTGTCTTGATTTGGTTCATCTCCCCTTCAAGTCTTTCTTCTAGCGCATAAACTTTCTTGGCCGCCATCTCGATCCGAACTTTTGAAAATCCAAAAACTCCGGATTTGGATTACAAAAACAGCACTTCGTCCGTTCCCGACAAAAAATCAGCTGCTGAAATTTGCCAAAATCAGCCCACGAACGGTCCCAAGACTTGCTCTGATACCAATTTGATAAGGAACACTTGTAGATCTCAAGTATTTCCTATCAATCTTCGTGAACCACGAGAGTTCTCCCCAAAAATCCGCACAAAATCACAAAAACAGTAGATAATTTGTATTATTTGGTGAAAGGAAAACAGAAAATAGCAAGATACAATTGATCCTCTATTCGAGAGGAGGATCAATCTCTCCCAAATCTCTAGACGCCGTTAGAGCCCAAAGAAAAACCTAAATCTAGGAGATCTCAAATTTCAGCCAAATTCAAGATGTGTTAACCCTAAGAAAATAAAATATTTAATGCATACAAATCAAAAGGAAATCCCTAAATAGTCCCTACATTCAAATTTCCCTCCCAAATCCCTCAAAAATCCATCCTAAATTGCTTTATTTGATCCAAGCGGGGTGTGTGGCTGAATGGGAGGTGGAGCGTCGTGCCTGGGCCGATCCCGCGTGGACCGGCTGGACTGGTCCATTGGACCGGTCTAACACATTGCTATCACTGAAGCTAGCAAGGAGAAGATATGACTGCAAAATTTTATGACAGAACTTAACAAAGGGCAAAAAATTGAGAAGTTGTATAATGACAACATGAGTGTTATTCATCTAGCCAAGAATCCAGCATTCCATGATGAAGCGCACCCGACTTCGGTATCATTTCATTAGATTGCTTATGGAAGATGGTCAATTATCTTTGAAGAAGATACACACGACCCAGAATTCTGAAAACATGTTGACGAAGACGACGACAATTGATAAATTGAAGTTATATGTAGCTTCAGTTAGTTTTCCTGAATGATGAGAGCAGGGTTGAGCCACACTATAGGTACTATAATTGGTGCAATAGATTGGGAGAATGATTGATTGCAATCAGTTTTTAAGTGGGACATTGTTAGTTCTGTGTGCAATCTAATTGTATCGATTAATCAGGTTGTATTGTTGCATCGGACCTCAATTCCATCAGTTGAGTTCATTGGGGGGTTCAAGGGGGTCCTCCCCTATAAAACGTTTTTTTCATACAACAGTACAACATTGTGGCGTTGTATAGTCAGGTTGGAGAACATATAAAGAGTTGAGTGTTACGACACTCCAAACCTGACGTCGTGGCACTACGAGTCAGGCGGCACAATTTCATTCTCATTTTTCATGTTTAACATGAAGGGTTGCGTCCCTTGAAGTTAGTGAATTGCGCCTCTTTGTCTATTTTAAGTGTAGAACAATGCAATAGTGAAGAGAGCTAAAGAGAGAGTAAGAGAAAAGAGAGATCTGTAATATTTCTCCTAAATTTTCATAGTGAATTTCTTGATGTAGTGTGGCTCTATGGTTTTTCCCGATTAAGGTTTTTCCAAGTTAAAGCCCAATGTTCTTTCTTTTATGCTGCATTTTATCTTTCATGTTTGTATTTGCTGCATGATTTTACTTTCCTAACAATGCATGCTCCCATCTAATTTATATGTGATTATAAAGATCCTTTTGAATCCACTTTTTTATTAATGTAAGTTTAGAAACTTCCCACGTATCATTATTTTCTAAGGTGTGGATCTCTTCCATTACAATTTTCTTGCACTCAGGAATTTTAAGAGTTGCATGAACATGATTTGGAATATTTATTTTATCAAGAGAATAGGAAAAAATTTTAAATCCACGTAAGACCCCTCTACAAGTCCGGAAATTAGATTGTATGCGTGTGTGTTTTTTTTTTTTTTTCTTTAACTCACCATTTTTGCTAAGGCAATAGGATGATAGAGAACAATATCATCAATCCATGAAATTACTGAGTCCATTACATTTATGACAAAATGGAACACAAAATGATTCCTAAAGTGTCTGCAATAAAATTTCTTCAGAGGGTGAAGCCACCCCTACAATCAACAACAAAAAAAAGCTGCATGTAATTCATGAAAAGTTTCACTACTGATGATTTTAATGTGGTAAATACAGAAAATAAATAGCTTACATTCTTCCCAATTCCTATAGCAGGAATGTTCGATAAGACACCAAGATGACAGGCTAGACCAAAGCCTGCATGGTGCATTGTACTTCAAGTAAGTACTTCATGGGAAGTATATAGATGCTAAAAAGAAAAAAAGTTAGCAACTATAAGAATTCGATGTCAGATAAAATAATATAAAACTTGATAAACAATATGAACTCTTACAAAATGAACTTCAACAATCCTTAGGACTGCAAGCGAACCAAGCGTTCGACGAGCTACTCGATGCTCGGTTCGATTAAAACTCGTTTGTGATCGTTTAACTAACTAAACAAACAAATTTGAACAACACTTTAAATACTTGATCCTTAAATAAACAAGCTTGAACACTAATGTGTTCGGTTCATTTATGTTCACGAACAACATCATTTGAAGTTCGTGAACAAGCTCGGCATTAAGCTCGATAAAAGCTCGAATGGAGAGAAATGCAACTGGTAAGCTTCATTTAAGAATATATTCATATAGATTAATCATATTTTCATTTTAAATAGACAGCTGCTTTTATTATAAATTTAATTTTCTGAACAAAAGACATTTCACATTTGTTCATGTTTGCTAGATTGTTTGTTTAAGATGTTCATGAACAAATTTAATGTTTGTTTATTCAATGAATTGTTTGTTAAATATGTTCACAAACATAGCTGAACATACATAGCTCGTTAATGCTTGTTTGTTTAAAGCTCAATAAGCATTAAACGAACCGAACGTGAACCGAACATGAACCAAACATGAACACCCTTAAATTAAACGAACCAAACATGAACATAAACAATAAAGCTCGAATCAAATACGAACCAAACTTGAACAAGCTAATGATAAACGAACTCAAACATGAACAATCACATACTCAGCTCGGCTCGGTTCGTTTGCAGCCCTAACAATCCTAGTGTGTTTGGGGGAAATTAATGTAAGACCAAACCTACCTAATTATATTCAATGAAAACTTGCTGAATATTACATTCTTCATAGAGCAAATACTGCTGTATACGGAAACATAGGCTTCATTTGGTATAGCTAACAAAATTATGAGCGACCCAATAAGCAAGACTATACGCTCATAAAGTCGTACAGAAGGTGCACGTGCAAGAAGAATTTGATGCACGCATTTCTCATAAATCAAAAGAGCTTTTCAACAAATTAAGCAGGACGTAGTCGGGTGGTCCTTCCTTACTTTTAGTGAAGCTTAAGTCAAGGGCCATGCAATGAATAATATATTTGCAAGCAAACAAAAATACAATCCAAAAAAGGTCGAGGAATGTACACTTGTAAAGGAAACATTTGAGTTTCACAATTACCAATTTCCATGCGGCCATACCAAAAAAGTCCGTCGATCCCTGGAAATCTACGTCGATGTATGTCATCCTCCAGAAGGTGACGAAGGGCTCATGTCTATCGTAGCAGCGAAAGGTTGTTGTCCCATTTCAAATTTCCACCCAACGAAAGCGTGAAAATTGAGTGAAACAATATGAAGTAGTTTATAGCTTGTGAAGAAACTGATGGGATCGTGCAGCAAAATAACAAATTAATGAAGGCGAGCGAGGGCAACTGAGACGATCATGAGCAACAGGAGGCCCAGTGGATCAGGAAGCGGAGCGGCCTAGTGCATAAAAGGGAAGGAAACCAGTTGACGTTGGCGGTCAGGCGGCTGGAGCTTGGAGCGCAGGTTACGAGTGGCGTGTCGCACAAGGTTCAGGCGAAGCAGAAAGCAGGCGACGATGGGTATTCGTGGGGGTGGAGTATCGACAATGCCAGTTGAATGCAAGCAGGATTGCGGCGATTCGTAGCAGGAGAGCCCTGCAGCGTAAATGAGGGAGGGCGGGACGGGACGCGGCTGGAGAAGAATTCGAGATTGTTTAGGGAATCGAAGTGATGAGGATCGACCGTTGCTCTAATACAAAATACAAAATGTAACCAATCCAATATCAGTCGACAGTGAGAAAAGAGATTAAAATTTTATTCAATATTGAATCAAATCCAATTATAGTTTTTTAAAGCAATTTTATTTTTTTTTTATCAAAGATTTTTTGATAGAAAGCTGTTTTAGAAAACGGTAAAAAAATTATCCCAAACGAAATCTTAAGGGGATTTACATATACATCACATAATTCTTAGATATTATATACTAATATTTAAATTTTGACGTTTATTTATATGACACCCAATTCTTCAAAATATATGTTTATTAGATTTAATGCTATCTATTTTTAGTTCTCCCTACAACTGTAAATTGTTATATTCATAATTGAGAAATCGAACTTAGATTAAATTTAGGCTTCGTTTGGGACGGCTTTTTTATTGCTTCTTAAAGAAACTTTCTAATTTAAAAATTAAAAATTTTATACTAGAAAACTGCTTTAAGAAGCAGTAAAAAAGCCATCCCAAACGTTGTCTTAGGGTTTGTTTGAGAAGTCTGTAGTGTTTTGCTTTATGAAATTATTGTGGAGAAAGTAATTTTTTAAGCTTATATATATATATATATATATATATATATATATATATATATATGCTTCAAAATGTACTTTAGACATCATAATTGTTTGGATGAGTACATGCTTTCATGTATGATGAATTATGCATATTCTCATGCAAATTTATATTTAGTCTTCATTTGGGAGAGCTTTTTTACTGCTTCTTACAGCAATTTTTTAGTTCAAAAATTTTAATTTTATACTAAAAAGCTGTTTTAAGAAGCAGTAAGAAATCTGACCCAAACGAAGCCTTAATCCCATTAATGTTTTATAAATTATTCTACAACTGACATTATATGATTGTAAACTATTTCATTATTGATATCAACTATAGTTATGTTGCATTAGTATCCTGTTTATTAGGTATTGTCTTACTCTAGCAAGTTATAAGTAGATTGAATATATGAACTGAATATAGAATTCTGTAACAATGTGCAGAAACATTGGTCAAAGAAGATTTCATATTCAGAAAGAAACAAAAGAAATTTCTAGCTGACCACATGTAGTGGGATAAGACTTATGCTTTGTTTGGGACGGCTTTCTTACTGCTTCTTAAAGCAATTTTCTAGTATAAAAATTTAAATTTTTGTACTACAAAGTAGCTTTAAGAAGCAGAAAGAAAGCCGTCCCAAACCAAACCTTATTGTTGTTGTTGAAACAAAATAAACCCCAGAACATACCTTTAGGATGAAGTATCCCATTTCCATCAACCATTAATAACTGTTGGAATAAGGAAAAAAATCTGTTTCAATGCAACTCAATGATGCTAAACTGCAAAACCAAGGCAGAAAATTTATGGGAAAAAATGCATCAAAGTTCAAAAAATTAATTGATTGAGGCAGAATATAAGTAATAGCAATCTCCTTTTGTTTTAATGCTTTATTATTCATTAATTATCAGGCTAAGCTTCAAAATATTCCCCCAATTATTCGTATATGAAAAATTTAATCATAGATATATTAAGTTGCTCATATTTAATCTATTGATTATACAAAATTGATTCAAAATGATAACTTTGGAACTAAATCAGGATCAATTATCACAATTACAATATGAGAGCCCGTTTTTTATTATTTTTGTCTAATTGTGGGACTAAATTGGAGAAATGTGATATTCTAGGACTAAATTGATCACACATGAATAGTATGGGAACTATTTTGAGATTTTTCTAATTAATTATCAATGTTAAAAAACTTCTCAAAAGGTCATTTCATGAATGGCTAAATAATATTGCATAGGATAACTTTTACAAACAAAAGAGGTTTAAGTAGACAAAGCCATGCATATAAATAAATAATAAGCAATACACCACATGTGAGAAAGAAGGTGCAACTGAGTTGCAAAGCTCAGAAAATCAAGTAGTTTAGATGTATTAAAAAACTTAATTTACAAGCTTAAATCAGAATTCATTTCACACATCTGATTTACCACTCATTCTATAGATGGTGGTTAGAACTGCAATGCTTTATGGTGCAGAATGTTGGCCATTAAAAGAGAGCATAATATTACATTAAGTGTTGCAGAGATGAGGATGCTCTGGTGGATGGGTGACTTTACTCTTAGAGACATGATACGAAATGAGCATATACGTGAAAAGGTTGAAGTAGCTCCAATGGAAGATAATATTAGAGAGAGTCACCTTAAATGGTTTGGTTACATAAAACGGCAGCCTTCCGATGACCCGGTTAGGAAAGTAGATGTATTATATTTCAGTATTTGACTTATATTAAAAAATGTAGAGACATAAAAAGACTTGGTTAGAAAATATTAGAAATGACCTTTCTTTATTAGATTTAAATGAGAATTTAACTTTTAACATGGCACAATGGAGAAAAAGGATTTAAGTAGCCGACTCCACGTAGTGAAATAAAGGCTTGTTGTTGTTGTTGTTGTTGTTGTTGATGTTTGTTGTTGTTTTATCTGATTTACCACTCAGACTCCAGCGAATAGCGTAAAGTCAAAAAGTAATCACACCAAAAACCAGAAAAGATGCACACTGAAAATGTATTTTCAAACAAATAACCAACTGCGCCAAAAGAGCGAAAGATTCACCTGTGGATAAAAAGGATGAGCTTTCTGCTTCATTTTGTCCAAAATTCCAAGAATTATAGGAGCCTGCAAAAATTAAATTAATATCAACCGATGAGTTACAACACAAACGGTAAGATCAAACAAAGCAATGAAAAATTTTATACAAATTAGAAAAAGATCGCTAATTACATTGTGCTTGCAACAAAGTTTATTACAACCATTGCAAACCTTTACCTATTGAAGATGATTACATTCTATCATTAAAATAGCTGAGATCTTTAATATGTCCCAAGCAATCACCAACACAAAGCAAAACCACCGCCGAACTCCATTTCCTCAAAGAAAAAGGTATAACTAAATATATTTATGCTTTATTTGCCAATGAGGGGATTTATTCTGAGGAATTTATACGGCAAAAGAAGGTGTGAGTTGTAGTCTTATGGAGTAATATCTCAGACTACGTAGGAGTTACCCTTGAATTCAGAATTTCTATAGTTGTTTATGAAAGATGATCCTTATGCAGGTAGAACTTGGGAATAAGAACATTAAGCCCCAATCGCCCATGTGGGAACTCCCTAAATAGTCAATATACATTTAATAGTCATTTTTTTTTTTAACCTGAAGCTGCCTAGTCTACCCAGACTAAGCTAAATCAGTCGATCCAACCGAGAGCCCCCGGCACCAAGTGGTGATCTAGGAGGCTCTCCACACCTATCTAGTTGATCAATTAACCAAGCTAACAGAATAATCAAAGGATGGATCATTACAATAGGCTACTCCTAACCAAATTAGATTAGATATTTAAGCGTTTCTTAATTTATATAAGCTACATCAAGCCAATATTGGACCTACTTCAAAAAGAGGACATTTCATTAATAGGCCTGATATGCCACCTCTTCATATGACGCTATTGGCAGCCTCATTTCATCCATTGATAGGGGCTCAGGTCCATCCTTAAATCCTCCTTGATTTTCTCATTATCTTTATCTCATAATTAGTTTTAAATAATCCTTGATTGAAGCATAGAACATGACTTCTATTAATCCATGAATAGGAGATCTATAAAATGTTTGTACTAATAAGCTGCTTTAAGAAGCAATAAGAAAGCCGTTTCAAAGCCTTAATTTCAATTCATGGGATGGAATTAATTCAAAAAAATTTCCTCTTCCAAAATAGACTCAACCAGTCACCAGATGAAGGGATTACCTTAAAGGATTGTTGAAATCTGAAAAAGATGGCAGATAATTTAAAAAAAAAAAAACAGAAATTATTCAGGGAATCATATCAAGAAGTCAAACCTCTCTAAAAGCAAGGAAACCAGGAACATATGGTACTTTCAATCGAACAACTTCAAATTCTTCATGAACAACATTCAAAGTATAAGCATTCAAGACCACAAGGGCACCACAAGCCAAAGAAGGGTCCTCTTTCACAAAGCTCACATCAACCCCTCCAATATACTGAAGACTCTCGACATTGCCAGCTTGATCCAAACAAGAGCCTTGTGGTGATATTTTCCACGTGAAATCATCTTCTAGAACCACTTTCTTCTTTAGATTATCTTGAATCCTAATAAATCAAAGCAGATAACAATAAGATGGTTGGGATGCGCAGAGCATCTTCTAGAAAACTTATAAAAAGATCTTTGTAAGTTGAAAGTGCACCCAACGAGCAAGTAAAATAGTGAAAACATACTCAATCCATTCCTGCTGATATGAATCCTTGTCAAAGGAAATATTTTTGGAGGAAAAATCCATGCGGTACTGCTCATGCAATAACGGAACCTGAAAATAAAATCATTTCTAGAAATCAGAACCCTGAAAATCTTTCAAATGCCACATTCCACCTTCCCAGCCATAATTAAATTTGTAATTAAAAGAAATTTGAAAAAACAGAAAGAACTCTCTAACCCTCCAATAAGCAAAACCAAATATCGTCCACGCGTGATGCAACGACTCAGAAACAGTGGAAGACCGGATCTTTGATTCCCGTTACAAACTGTTAAAACCTAAATCCTCGTTTCAGAAAAATGGTAGAAAAAAGACAGCTGAATCCTTTTCAGTTTTGAAGCAGATGATTGGTATAAGAGAAATCAGATGTTCTCTTGATCCCGCCAACGCCGCCGCCGCCGCCGCTAGCGTCGCCACCAACTTCCTTCTAGGTCTTCAGCTCCGGTCCACTTCAATCCAGTTTTCACGCGGATCTGAGCTGTAATTTGGAATGTCTCACAAATATTGAAACGAAATTTTCAAATAGACAGGGTGGTTCGTGCCAAAAAAAATATTTTGAATAATCTGGCAATTTTAATTAGGGGTGTAACTGAGTCAAGCCGACTCGTGAGCTGACTCGAGCTCGACTCGTTAACGAGCTCGCGAGTCGAGCTTATCGAGTTTCGAGCTCGAGCTCGAGCAGAATTTCGAGCTCGGTGTGTTATCGAGCTCGAGTTTGAGTTAGGTCTTGTTCGGCTCGAGCGCTCGTCGAGCCGGCTCGATTAAAAGGCGGACTGTGCAAAACTGTGAATTCCATATTTCCATCTACGCGTGACGGCCTGAGTGAGCGGGAATTTTAGACCGGGCGAAAAAAAAAAACCGGAGGTCCGGAGCTAGTAAAATTAAATAAACTTAATAACCTATTGAAGAGCCGGTCTGATTGTTCGTTCGTGAGGTAGAGACGAGTGCATCGTCCTTCCCCTTCGTGAGCACTAGGGCATCACTTCTTGGCTTCGTTCTTCTGGTGCTCGAGTTATTAGCTTCTCCGATTAGGTCCGTAAAGCACATTAGGAGTTATATTAATTGCTCATTTCTTCTTCATTCCTCAGTTTGTCTTTTGTTTTTTTGCTGAAGTTCTTCTTGTGCTCGAGCAGGAGAAGGTTTGGTGAGTTGCATTTTGGAGGCGTTCTTCCAGATTTGTTTAACTCAGGTTAGTGATGTTAGTTGTAAATAACCGTACGTTTAGATTCATTTTTCAGATATTAATTCATATTCAGATATTTATTCATTCTTCCATATTTGTTTAACTCATGTTTTATCCCTAGAATCCTAGATCGTATGCTGGAACTACAGATTTTCCCTAGATTTGTTTATTTATTCATTTCTTTGTACAGAACTACAGATCTATCATTCTTATTAAGTTTGTTTTTTTTTTCTTCAGATCTGTTTACGAGAACGATCTTAAAGATTCATATTCAAGCTCTAAAGTGAAGGTTCATATTCATGTTCTAAAATTCATTGTATTTTTATTTAGTGTTACTTGTTATTAGTTTTATGAATATGTCCTTGTCGTTTTTAATTTTCTTTAGATTTGTTATTAGTTTTCTTCAGATTTATTTTTTTACTGAAGTTCTTACTTGTTATTAGTTTGTTGTGCCAATATTTTGATTTTGATGTATTTGATTATTCCATTTTTTATTAAAAAAAGGACTTGAAGGATCTTTTAATCAATGTTAAGGGGTTATTTGGTTCAGTATTATCCAAATATCAAATTTTTTTTAACAAACCATGATATTAAAAAGATATTTGGATGTATATTAATTCTTTGATTCTCTTGGTTCTTTAATTTGATCTTTGATTTTTGGATGTACATTTGAATGTATATTACTTCTTTGATTCTCGTACTTGCATTTTAAAAAATGAGAATTAGTTTTTAGATGTAAAATATATTTTTCAATTCTCATGTTATGATCAGTTTTTTTAGAATGTCAACACCGGTTAGTATGGAAGGTGATAATATTGATCCTGCAAATATTGAGATTGGAAGACATGATGATCATCTTCACTCTTATGTTGGTAGTCAACCTATGAATGAGAATAACACACATAATGATGTCAATGACATTGATGAAGAGGTTGAAAAGTGGACTAATGAAAATCAAGTGAATGATATTGAAGAAGTTGGATGATGTTATAGGAAGAAATAAAAGAAAAAAAAGATCTAAAGTTTGGGAAGAGTTCAAAGAAGTTATTCTTCCTACTGGGCAAAAAAAAGGAGAATGTGTTCATTGTAAAAAACAACTACTTATTGGAGTTACTGGAGCAACTACACAATTTAAAAGATATTTGGGCCGATGTGCTGCTAGGATTCGTGCCATCAAAAAGCAAAAAGTCTTACACTTCCAACCATCAGATATAGAAAACTCATTCTCTTAGAGCAGTCAAGATGGTGGAATGTTGACAACATTTAAATATGATCATCAAAAAGTTAGGGAGATGATAGCACATTACATTCTAATTAATGAGAAATCATTTTCTATTGTTGAAGAATTTGGATTCAACTTAATTTTAAAGTCTATGTCACATTTTTTTGTGAAATACTCACGGGCAACAACACGAAATGATGTCATGCAAGTGTATGAAAGGGAGAAAAAAAATTGAGAATGCTTTAAAGGGCATTAACAAAATAAGTTTTACCACAGATTTATGGAAGTCAAAAAATCAAAGAATTTCATATATGACAGTCACAGCTCATTATGTTGATTCACAGTGGAAGTTACAGAAAAGAGTATATCCTACTAGAAAACTAGTAATGGATTGCCCAACTCGTTGTAACTCAACTTACTCAATGTTGACAGTGGCATTAAGATTAAGGGAAGCTTTTTTTTTCATATAACGAAAGAGAAATGGCATATGTTGCATGTCCAACAGAGGAGGAGTGGGATAAAATTGAAAAGGTTTGTGATATTTTGGGATTCTTCAACGAACCAACTGATATTATTTCAGGAACAGATTACCCTACAGCAAATTTATTTCTTTCACAAATTTGTACCATTAAGAAGGTGTTGGACGAGGGGGCAATTTCTACTGATAATTTTATTGTGGAGATGACTAAGAAGATGAAAGCTAAATTTGATAAATATTGGGGTGAATGTAATCTCCCATGGCTTTTGGTGCAGTGATGGATCCAAGAATGAAGTTTGTTGTAATTGAGTTTGCCTACCCTAAGATATATCATGGAGATGAAAGCATGAGGAATGTGCAACATGTTAGATGTCTTCTCTATGAAATGTATGAGGAATATGTTAGAAGTTCTGAAACCGAATTGGATGGTGATGGTGGTATTGCGGGAGGGAGCTCAAGAAGCACAACCAATTCATTGCAAAGTGTAGACCATCAATCTAATTCTAAAAAATATAGTGGTTGGCATGATTTCACCTCATTTGTCTCATCCAAAACAAGCACTAGGCCTATAAAATCAGATTTAGACAACTACTTGGAAGATGGCTTAGAACTTTGTAGTGAAGGGCAGAAGTTTGATGTGATAGCATGGTGGAAAAACAATCAAGCCAAATATCGCATACTTTCAAGAATGGCAGTGGATATTTTATATATTACTATTAGTACAGTTGCTTCAGAGTCCACTTTCAGTCCTGGAGAAAGAGTAGTTGATACATATCAATCAAAATTAGGGGTTGACACTGTGCAAGCTCTCTTTTGTGGCTCCAACTGGGTTCGCTGCCACTATGGCTTGAAGGGAAGGGTTAAGGTAATGATATTACATTCAAGATATAAGACATTTGTTTGGTATCCCAAATACTTACATATGAATATTCAATTATCTTTGCTTTTGTAGGAGGAGGAAGAGGATGAAGAGGTGGAGATTGTCCTACCGATTACTTGAGAAAATTGGAGGTCAGAAATATATTTTCTTTTGCATAAATTAACTAAGACATTATTAAGCAGTTGATTTATAAAATTTGTTTATTTTGGCAGATGTAAATTTAATTAGTGGAAGCATGTTTGGAGTCCAGAAGAAAGGTCAGTATGCTGTTTATTTATTATGATTTAATTTCACTAGCTGGTAAGCATTGCCATAGTTCTAGCTTCTACAATCTAAAATTTGCAGCAATGGTAGTAACTTTATATATATATGAAGCTTGCTTGTTCTCCCTACAGTGATATGTTTGATATGAAATAGTCTTCTTGTGTTTTCAAACTTTCAACTGTAATAAAACTGTAATTTTCAATTTTTCAAACTTTCAACTTTCCCTACCGAGTAGTTATAGCTTCTTGTTCTCCCAACCGAGGTTAGAGCTGTGAGTCTGTGACTATTTGTAATGTCTTATAATTTTTCCATTGTCTTAGTTCCGATAATTGGTTTGGACTCCAGACATTGTCTACTTGTTATTTGCCAAAAAAATTCTTAACATGACTTTGTGTGCTTGTTAATTGCCAGCAAAATTCTTAACATGAGCTTTGTCTGCTTGTTTTTTTTTTTAATGTAAACAGGAAATCAATTTCTTCGGAGAATGGAAAGTTGCAAACTGTTCAAATGATGAGCAAGAAGAAAAAATTTGGTCAGATAACGAGAACAAGACAATTTTAATGTAATAATGTTGTACTAGGATCGAGTTTAACAGATTGTATAATTCTAATTACTTTTTTGTAATGATGTGATGATATTGAATTTGGTCTAACTTTGAGATGAATGCTCTTTTTCATATTTATCAAGTTTTAATTGTATTTAATTGCATAAAAATTGCACTTGATATTGATCATTTTTTAAAATAAATTTTTTTAAAGAAAGATGATTGCTCATTATATATTGATTTCTTCTACAATTAAATTTTTTTAAAAGAAATTAAAAGTTAAAGTTGTGGACATTTTATAATTAGTTAAGTTATTTTTCATAATTTAAAAAAAAGTGTTAGAAAAAATTTCCATTTTTTTTTTAATTGATGAATCAAGCCAATCAAACGAGCTCGAGCTTGGCTTTTTCTAAACGAGCCGAGCTCGAGTTTACTAATCGAGCTCGAACTCGAGCTCGAGCTCGAGTTCGAGCCAATTGAGTGTTAAACGAGCCAGGCTTGATAAGGCAGATACTCGACTCGCTTACACCCCTAATCCTAATCAAATCGATATGGAATTTTTAGTTTGATTTTATTTTAATTTGATTTTCTTCATCGATTTATTTAATTTTTGAATTAAATGTAAGGTTTTGTCAAAAAAAAAAAAACAATCAAATTGATTCGAATAAGCATAATGAAAAACTTTTTTTTTTATTTGAGCTTATATGTTATTTTGATATGAACTTTTATTGATCAAAATAGACTAAGATTTTATTTGGGATAACTTTTTTGCAGCTTTCCGAAATAGCTTTTTAGTATAAAAGTTTTTAATTCCAAAAATTTTTGTGCTAAAAAACTGTTTTTAAAAACAATAATAAAGTTGTCACAAACGAAGCCTAAGACTTCATTTGGGATTTCTTTCTTATTGTTTCTTAAAATAGCTTTTAGTACACAAATTTTAAAAAATTAAACTGCAGTGAAACCGTCGAAAATGCCGCCAGTAAACCAAAATTTTCCTGTAATGCAACAATATTAAATTTTTCAATAATATGATGATTACATGAACAACTTTAGATGTTATGTTGATTTGTATGCTACATCTAGCAACCTCATATGACTACTTGATATTATCTCATGATTCATGCTTTTAACTAAGGTTACGACGTTCCTAAAAAAAAGACTAGCTACAGTTAGAAGCCAATTATACTGAAAAATCGACAATGGTAGGCTAGGATGTCACATTTAAGTGATGCACCATAAATTAATTGATTGTGTTGACCAAATAATGGTGGGCTAGGACATTGCATTTATGTACACACCACAAGTTAATATAATTACATGTATAGAAGAATACAAGGATATTATAGAAGAAATCTTAATTATGGATATATATATATATATATATATATATGGAGAAAACATTTAGAATAAATTATTTCTCTAGGATAAAGTTGCAAAATTTCTTAAGAATCTAAGGATATGTCATTAAGAAAATGATATTTAAATTTCTTTATTCACACAAACCTGTGTTGACTACTAAAAAGTCTTCATACTGAAATGATTGGGATAATATTAAATCTAATTCAAGTTATTATACTGAAAAGGGGTTCATATTGTAGCATTGTGAGAGAAAATAGCTAGACCATGAGTTGTTTCCCAATAATTATGTTGCTACTAACAAATTTACACTATTAAGCATAAGTCAACTAAAGTTTCTTAGTTCAAATACTAATCAACCCAAAGTTCAACATGAATTTTGATCATTCCAATGATGGCCTTGTTAACACCTAATTAATACAATTAGTGCTAATACTTTGTTACCGTATTTCTTGTTCTCCTATGATTTATTTACACGTGTAAAGCAAACCTCTTATTGCTTATATATATAGGTAGTTGTACTTGTTCTGATGGAAGGAAAAACTTTATCTCTGTTTGTCCTCTTCGGTTCTTGTCTCTTTCCTGTTTTTCTTCTTGATCTCTGGCGAGCAGTAGAATATAAGTTTCTACAGGCCTAAGTTTGTGAAGCTGTATAACACATAGGATAGGCTTATATTAAATAGAAATTGTTAATGGAGCAACATTGATATGTCAGGATTTGGAGTGTGGCTCGGAAGATAGTGGGAAGAGAAAACAAATATAATGATAAATTAAAAACTCACTAAGGCTTCGTTTGGGACAGCTTTCTTCCTGCTTCTTAAAGCAGTTTTTTAGTACAAAAAAAATAATTTTTGTACTAGAAAGTTGTTTTAAGAAGCAGTAAAAAAGCCATCCCAAATGAAGACTAAATCTCCCTTGTTGGATTTAGCTTTCAAGCCTACGAGAGATTATTAGGTGCAGACACCAGATTTAGAGATGCATTCGGATTACAGGATGCACTGCGTACGCTCTGCTTACACTATGTGTATTTGTAGATACACAGTAAATAAACAATAAATAAGCAGCAAATCTTCACAACTAAATATTTATTTCTTAGTTATTGTGTATCTACAAATACGCATTATATATGCAGTAAAAACACATAATGTAGGCAGAGCTTAAGCATAGAAAACGCAGCATTCGGACACATCTCTACGTCTGGTGTTCGCACCTATGGAATTTACACAAGTAATTCAATAATTCATTATTACAATCATAGAGAGTACATGATAGTGTGATATAGATAAACGAAAAACAAAACACATTTGATAATCCATTATGACAAATTAATAAAGAAGTAGTCTTCATTAATTTTATTCTTCGTGACCTTTTATAGTGGCAACCAAAGTTTTTTGAAGGAAGGTTTTAAAGGAAATTGATCACTCGTTGCATGCCAGAATGGAGGAGTGGTTAGCCTAGCCATTACTTATACATTTTGGAAGGTGAAATTGAATTAAATTAAATGCATGTTATAATCCAATAATAAGTGGTCCCTACCAAGCATCATATTACTCCTTACTCTCCTTACTAGTAGTTTAAATTTATAGGATGCTCAAAAAGTTCCATAATATATATTTATATGAGATATTTATAAAAGAAGTTAAGGTTTTCTATCATGGGCGGATCCCCACTCATGAGATGCCCACCCTAAAAAAATAAAAAAAAATAATGTATAAGAGGGATAATTTTAGAATTCTTCCCACACTCAAAAATATAATTTTTCCCCAATAATAACCCATCTCGCTTTGTTTGACCATCCATCCTAAGTTTCGAATATTTTCTCTTCGCAAATAAATGATAAAAAATTATTCTTATAAATTTGATAGCATTATGTTGGTTAAATTTTTTAAAATATATATTTTATTATTAATAATATTTGATGTTATTATTATTTATTTTATTATTATTATTATCATCTAATTAATTAAAATTTTGCTTTTCCTGAGCTAGATCCAAGAATGTACCTATATATTTGTGCTTGGATTGTTTAAACTTTTATATAATTGAGTTTAGTTTGCCTAAATTAATCGAATAATTAGTTAAACACGCTAATAAAAAAGCCAAAATATTGAATGAATACTTGATTTCTTATTTTTTAAAAAATTACAATTTTAGATGAATAAATAATTCAATAAATATAGCATTAATATTTTACTACTTGACTCCAATTAAATAAACATCAAACAAATTAACAAGATAATAAACAAGGCATAAATATTTTTTCTTGCAATTATAGAACATAACATGTACCATCAAACTTGTTCTTAGAATTAGAAGAAGAATAAATGATTGCATCAAATTACTATCTAAATTCACTAATTATATAAATTATGTAATTCAAAAAGATCTAAAAGCTAAAAAATAAATATAAATATTTATCTATATATGAAGTATTATTGGAAAATAAGCTTTCAACAACTGCTCAAAATATTGCATTACAACAAAAAATGTCAACAAATAATATATAATTCAAATTCAATGATGGAGGAAAATAGAATCACTTGGAAAATAATATCAAATTCATGGCATAGTATTTAGTATCATACTATGCATAAATAATTGGTGATATTTTAGCTAAATAAATGTTGGAGAATTAATTATTAAATATTATAATATATATTATATATGATTTAAATTTTAATTTTGTTTTTTAGTTCTAATGTTGTATACTTGAAATATAAGAATTTTTCCAATGTAAAATAGATAAAAAAAATTTTATTTTAGATGTTCGTGAATGAAAGAAAGAGCATTGATGCTAATTTTAGGGAGAGAAAATATATATTTGAATAAATCAAAGTAAGATTTGTAAGGTTTGATGCAATTATCAATCCTGACTTTTTTCAAGCCTCTTATCCTATCCTCTTCAATTCTCTTGCATATGCATTTATATTCTCACGTTATCAGGCTGGAGAGATCGACCATTCGCCGAAGCATCAATAGCGCCCCTAATTAAGGTGAAATTATTATGTGCGGATATGAACGTCGTCTAGAGGCGAATAAGAGCGCGCCACGTCACCTTTTTGCTGTGTGCTGAAACTGTGTATCCGTTGTGTATTAGGTAATGTGGCGCACTCTGATTCATCTCTGAACTGTTCGGTGTTCGCACGGAAAAATTTATCCTAATTAAGAAGGAAAAGCATAAAAAATGTGCTTACTTCCTCAGCGTATGCAAGCTATGACCTTGAATTCTATCAGTCATATAGCAGACATTTGGTGATTGAAAGTGACAAAATCAAAATTACAAAATGAGAAACATGAAAAATAATTAAAGGCAAAATTGTAGAAATAATATATGTGAATTGATAAAGTAGCACAAATTATTTAAAAAATATATAAAACATTTGAATAAATTATATTCAACCAAATTTTAATCAAATAATATAAGAGTTATCATCAAGCTTAACATTAAGCATGTTGCAATATATTTATTGAACAACAATACAAATTATTCGTGCACACAAATAAATAAGTTGAATTCAACAAATTAACAATAATTTTTTTTTTTTGGGAGAATTTTGGGCATGGCCCGTATATTAAACCAAAACTGTAAAAATTACAGCATCAATACAAAATAAAAGAAGGCCAATAACAGACCCAGCAAAAACCTATAGAGAAACTAATTCAGCAAGAATACAAAAAGTGCTGAATCAAAAATACAGCAATAACATGTATCAAAATCAGCTCAGGAAAATGCTCCATTGCCTGTGAGCCTGGACTCAGAATAAACAAAATTGAATCGAGTAGGGTCTCTTCCCTGGTTGCCCGAAGACCGTCCAAGGGAGCAGCAGGATGGAGCTTCATCATCGTCCAGGCGGGCCAAAAACTATTGAATTGTTGATTTTAATTCATAATTATGGTTATCCTTATCCAACAAATAAAATATTTACAAATAATTATTGAATTGTTGCACGAGACCTTCAAATTATTACAGATTGTCCTTAACAAGAAATAGTATGAAGTTAATAGGAGTTTGTTAGAAGATCTTTGGGGTACCTGAAATATAGAAGCAACGAATTCCGCTTACCTCTCATAATTTCACAAAAGTCCTGTACATTTCAAAAATTAGAAAAAAAGAAACAGCCCCAGCGAAAGACGACGACTTTTGTTTCTCTCTCCTGTTATTTTATCCGCCACCTCTCTTCCATATAAAACTATTATTAGTGTTTTTCTGCGCGAGTAAATCTAGCGCTAGCGAATTCGCAATGGTGGAAAAGTTCTGAACGATACGAGAGTTTTACACGAATCCCAGATCGCGAGAAGGGCGCGGAGGAGAAGCAAGGAATAAGGAGGACCAGAGCAACGAAAGTTTTCCCCAACTTCTCTCTCTCTTTCTCTTTTTCTCCAGATTTGAGATCTTTGGATTGCTGATGGAGACTGCCGAGCCAGGACCGGATCGAATCGGTAAGAGAAGAATCAGAGACTCCTTCTCCGGATAAGTTGTTTTTTTGTTCTTGGGGTTTTAGCGGTGTTGATTTGGATTGATTTTGGTCGACTAGGGTTGAGTCGTGGGTGCTGCTGTCGGTTCTGTATGGAAATTGTTTTTGCGGATTTGGGCTGGGGATCGAACCAGAATTTATTGTTTTGGGTTTTTTTCAGAATTGATTTTTTCCGCTTCCGGTGCGTGGCGGGCTTTGGCTGGGTTTTGGTCAGCTGGAGTTCACTTTCTTTTGGATTAGTGCTTGGCGTCAGATGGTTGTTTGTGTTGATGTTGACCAGTTTATTGCTGGTGCTCTGCTAAGTTATTTGACTTTGATCTCGAATTGTTTGGTGTCTGCTTTTCATATTCCGACATCTAATAGAGCAGTTGTACATTGCTTAAGGCGCACAGTATTGTTTGATTTGATTGCTTACATTTAGAGTTTGTGAAATGTTGGTGTGCAGAATTACAAAGAAAAGACATCTGCATAATTCTTTTGGTTTCTTCTGGGTGGATATTATTTTCACGAGCTTTACATTTGGCCTGAAGTAGAACGCTTAATATTTAGAATTGTTATTATAAGAAAGGTTAAGTTAAAAGCATCCGATGATTTGGCACCCCATTGTTTATTGTTTTGGAGCTTATTTGTTCATATGCAAAAGTAGTTGAAACACAAATAACCTTTTAGGATGGGGACGGCTCCGGCACAAACTAGAGCAGCAGCAAAACAACACCAATAACCAGAAACTGTTGTCCGTTAGTTTGGCCGAAGGAGTTACACATGGGCAAAGGGTAGAAGCTGGGTAAGGATTTGAGAGTGAAATGGGTACATGTATCACTAATAGATCGGTTAGGAAAGTAAGGGTAGCAGCAAAAGGAGTATTAATGTGCAGGTTGTACTCAAGTTCTTTTAATGAAAAATCAATGACCTTCTTCTTGGCCTCCCCTATTCTATTCTTGCCATCTATCTTCCTCTTCTAAAGTGCAAGCAAGTAGACCTCCACCTCAACCTCAACTTGTAACCCCACCAAAACCTACTTTCTCTAAGACACAAATTCATATTAAACAATTGACAACTGCTCGAATGATGGAGAAACAATAAAAGGGCTTATGTTACAATTGCAATGAAAAATTTACTCGTAACCATGTATGCAAAGAAAAAATATTTGCATTGATGATTGAAGATGAGGATACATTTTGGCCAAAACTGGATGCTATAATCATGCCAACTCCACGACCAATGAGTCCGGATTTATGACCTTAGGAAAGGTTTAGTATAAAGAGGAATATAGAGCTATGACCTTAGGAATATGTGAGCTACTATGTATCAAGATAATTCTAGTAGATCTAAGGATTAAGTGGGAAGGACCCATGAAGCTAGACTGTGATAACAAATCAACAATCGGCATAGCTCACATTCCGGTTCAATATGACAGGAGCAAGCACATAGAAGTGGATAGACATTTCATAAAAGAGAAATTAGATAGTGGTCTTATATGTATTCATCATATCTCATCAAAATATCAGCTTGTAATTATTTTTACCAAGGGACTCGATAACCTTTATGGGACTAATTACCAAACTGAAAATGACGGATCTGTATTCCTCAGCTTGAGGGAGAGTGTTAAATCCCATTCTTCCCTTGGCATTTGATCTCACGGCTTGGATGAGAATTCGTGGGATGCTCACCTATTAAATCTTAGTCGTCCCTTGGCAATTTGATCCCACGGCTAGGTTGGGAATTCGTGGGAGGCCCACCTGGATCACACTGATCTTCTTTCATATTTTGGTGGTTGATTTATGAAGGATTATATTAGAGCAATTATACATGAATATTTAATTATTTATTTCTTAATTAAGATATCTTGTATAGATCTATAAATAGGGATAAGTTTGTGCAATAAAATTAAGCCTTTTCCCTCCCCAATTCTCTAAATTTAACAGATATCAACATGGATTTAATAGTAGGATTACCAAAGGTTACAAGTGGATATTACTTTATTGTAGTGGTATTCATATGTTTTTCATTTCATTCCTTGTTCAAAGATTGCTGATGGATCTCATGAAGCAAAGTTATTCTTTAAAGAGTTTTTTTTTATTTTGTTGTTCTTTCAAGTTCTATCATGTCAATAGAGATGCAATGTTTTTCATCTGTTGACTGCCTTACTAAATATCTTTTGAACTTAATTGAAGTTTTTCTCTTCCTTTAATCTATAGGTAGATAAAAAATTTGATGTTGTGTATAAAAGTCTTGTATTATTTAGGTGCCTTATTAAGATCTTATTGGATAAGTATGGGAAATTTAGACTTGATCTAATCCATTGCTGAGTTTCTTTTTAACAGTTTTGCTAGTTGGCCAACTTCAAAATCTCCATTTGAAGCAATGCATAGTTTACAACCTATAATGCCTATTGATCTCATGCCTTTACTCATTTATGCATGCTCTAATTTTGCTCTAAAACTATGGCAGTAGCCCGTAAGATTTTTGGAAGTGTGAAGTGGTGATTCTGTATGTGTATGAAATTTTCCTTAAACTTTTTTCATGAAATACATGCTAGAAGCTACACACTAGATTCATGGTACATTAATAGGATAATTAGAAAGCTTTGATTATGCTTATATTATTGTTTCCCTTACAAACATAAAGTTAGCATAGCATAGTACTCAGTCTTCAATATTGCGCACTTGCTAACTTATCAAACCACTTTCGAACCTACAAACTTTTGTTTAGTTTCTGTGAAGGAGTTTCTTCATCTTCTCTAACAGTTTCAGCTTTAGTCCTACCATCAACTCTTTTTCTATTATATATTGAGTATATTTTTATCATTAAGATCACGATGGCATCTTTAGGTAAGTATGGCTTCTTTATTGTTTGGTGATATTGCCCTCCATCTGTTGATTTGAGGGTCTGACATGATAAGCTTCAACAGTTTTCTCTTGATATGGTTGATGAGCACTTTCAAGAAACTATTTCGAGGAGAGTTCTTCATATATCGGGGGAATTGATGGTTTTCATCCCATTGCATTCGAGACCTGTGTTGGATGTGATGCTTTTGATCACTTGCTGATCTTCATTTACTATTTTATATAGTTTTGATTGTGTTAGAATAAAGCTATTGTTTTTTAATTTGTGTTGGGTTTTTTCTTATTTTGTAAGGGCATTGTTGCAACGACAGACTTCTCTTTTCCTCGTAAGGATCCATAAAGCTGTCATTCGGATTTTAGAATAACTTGATTACCTGTAGCTATTTATCAATTGAACTTATCTGTCTTATTCCTCTCCAACTCTATTGTATTTGCTCTTCTTATCTTTATTTCTCCCTCTCTTTCCAATTTTCTCACATCTCTTCTCTTCTCTCATTGCCTTCAGAACATAACCTATAAACCCTACATGTAGAGCTGGATAGTCTTGGAATTTTGTTAGGGTGTCTTATTAAACCAAGTTTGAAAAATTAAGACTTGATCTAAACCATTGTTAAGCTTCTTTATCGAGAATCTCTTTAAAGTTGTTTGAAGCTAAGTGTTTTACATATAGTTGCTAATTGCTATGAATTTGGTTTATAATCGAGAAATTTATCGCCTTGAACTTAAAGTGGATTGTGTTGGAAGGAGTATTCCATTATTTCGTCATCCTAGATTATCGTGGACCCGGTCTACTTTGTCAGAGCCTCAGAGGAGGTAGTTGACCCAACTTGATTAAATCATTCTTATTGGCAGCCATGAGTTACATCTTCCAAGGGAACTTGATAGATCTTTAGTTGATGTTTATTTAAGGGGATAAATTTATGTCAACACTAGTTAATAGAAGGTTTTATGTCCTATCAAGTGCACTTTATAATTCATTATTTAAGAAATTTTTATCCACTGGGGAACTTGCAAGCTTTACCTGTAGCTATAATATAATGATGCCATTTTGCTACAAAATTACTTGATTAGAGGGCTCCAGTCAGAACCGTCTACTTATGTTTCCTTTTGGTGGTGAAACCATTGGTTAGAGGATATGCGTCATGTCCTTATCGGTGAGAGATCATTTGAGAATAAATTATAGTGATATGTTCAAGTTGATATTTTGATAAGCTTTTTAATGAAGATTGTGAGAATATAATGAACTTTAGTGACCTTAGCTCCCTAAATGAAAATAGAGATTTTTATTTTAATCGGCGTGTTAGTAAAATTGAAATTTGAGGCTTTAAAGAAAATGAAATATGAAAAAGCTTTTGGAATTGATGATAGTCCAATAGATGTATGGAAATGCTTAGGAGATGAAGGAATTTCTTACCTTACAAAACTTGTCAATACTATTTAAAGACTAAAAGATGTTAGATGAATGGAGGAGTGTGTTGATTTCTTTTTTTTTAGAAATAAAAGTGATGCACATGAGCGTGTTATAGAGGAATTTAGTTGATATGTTGTATCTTAAAACTATGGGAGATAGTTATCGATTATAGGTTCATAGCATTATAAATAAAATCCATAGCTGGTTTCTTCTCTGCATCCACTAAGCATAGTACTTGCACTAAGGGTCTCATGCTCAATATGGCATAGGTCACAGTAGCCTAAAATTTATCATTCAGAATAATCTTTCTTATTTCCTTCCCCTCGCTTTTCTTCACCCAAGTAGAGTTAAGCCATTCAGTTGATGTAAATATTGCTTCCAAAGGTTGCCTCATTTCCATCAGGCTCTGCAGTGTCAAAAACCACAAGCCACGGTGTTGCTCCGAGCGCAGCTTAAAAACCACAAGCCAGCTCAGCACGAGATGGAGCAACATCCAACCTAGGAAAATCTACTATTTAATGCATACAAATCAAAAGGAAATCCCTAAACAGTCCCTTCATTCAAATTCCCCTCTTAATTTCCCCAAAAAAGCTTCCTATTCGGCTCCCGCAAGGCACGCGGTGCGAGCAGCCTCCTCCCAGGCGAACAGATCGCCTGTTTCGCGACTTGGCCGGTCCCGCCTGGACCGGCTGGACCGGTCCACTGGAC